AGTTTTGAGAAAGCTTTTGACATATGTTTCTCCGTTAGAAAACTCCATTTTCTGAACTAATGTTTTTTAAAACTGTCTTTTACAAAAGCACCAAAAAAACAAACGAAGACTGAGTTGATTAAATAAAAGGTACACATGTCATCAATGACCCCAAGAATGCTCTGAGGTTCCATCCAAGCTCCATTAGTGAAAAAAGCTAACCTGTCATCACCTGATTGCACAAAATAATGAATAGAAATTTTAAGGACGTAGGTAGCATGCACGTGCAGAAAATGCACATGCCTAAAGTAGAAAGAATAAATTAAAGGAAAAAAAAATCAATCACATAATCCATTTTGACCTTAACGGAAAAACAATTTATTAACAAATTGTGGAATCAAATCTTATAGTTACAGAACTCAAGATAATTAAAGTATCAATTTCACATTAAAAGAGCACAAAAGATCACTTCCAAGAATTTGTTCAATGAGGTCTTCCAATAATTTTTTCCACTTAGAGGCTGTAGCTAAGACTTTATGCAGGACTTCAAAAGATGAAACCAAGAATGTAGGAAATTCTACAATAACTTTAAGGCAAAATTTTGTATCTAATATAATGTCTCTTTCACTAATTTTACTGACTACCACACCGAAAGAAAAAAGAGTAAAAAAGAGAGTTACAGGAGCACGTAGATATGCAAAAATAGTACTTGAATCTATTGTAGTACCTGACAAAAGTAATGCTATAGTCAACAGTAGGAGTTTGCGATCTGTAACAGCTCAAGCTGCAAAATAACAGTTAGCCATCCTAATAGTTTTTTTTTCCATTATTACAGATATTTGGGTTGATGGAAGTTTTATCCATATTTTAATTTTTGAAGGAAAATGAATTTCACGCCTCCTACTAATTAGTTGAATTTCATAAGAGAACAAATCAACTTCAAAGAATGAAACCATAGAAAAGAGGGAACATTTTTGACATTTTACTGAAACAGTCCACATGAAGAACAAAGAAGACAAGAGCAAGAGAAAACAATACACCATCCAAAAAGCATGCTATCATACTTTCTTCTGTTAAGGCTTTAAAAGGAAATCATCAAAATCTACTTACCATTATAAACACCACATGGCTCCATGTAATCATCATCCTTCTGCTAACAAGCTGATTTCGAAAAGCTAGTGCTACGTACGCACCATCAGGGGAAACAAAAGGTGTCACCTTTCTCTTAGACCTTCTTGGTCTCCAATATTCATTCCATTTCTGCTTAAAGATGTTTCACACCTTCACAAAAAAAAAAAAAAAAGAAAGGTGAAATTAAAGGAGGACATTAGAAGCCTTTTGCACTGTTTATTGTTCTTATTTGAGGTAGAACAGAATATGTGACGCTGCATCCATTTTCCATCAATCACAAAACTCATTAGAACTAACAAATATTATGGCCAATAGGATTTTTTTGTACAATTCTTTCGGAAATGAGTGATCAGACAACATTTTGCTCATAAATTAGAAAATCTCAAAATGTTCTCTCAAAGGTCAAAACTAAACTTAAATTTAGTTTGAAAACTTCAGAGTACTCATTTCTATTTCATAAGCAACAAAACACCAATTTCTCGACTTGAATCCGCACCACACACCATAGTACAGAATTTCCTCAAAGTACAAAAAAGAAATAAAAGTAAAAAACTGCAGCAGACTTTGAATGCGAATGGAAGGCGTAGCCGATTGGTTAGGAGCTTTCGCTCCTTGCCGCTGCTAGCACTCCAACTCATAATTAATATTTAATAATTGGTAATGTTGATTTTTTTTTTTGGAAATTAGATTAATTAAGACAAATTTACACAAATCACATACATAAGATTCAAATCCAAGATCTCTTTGTTGGAAGCTAAAGCTCCCAACTAATAGACCAATATGAGCTGCGTAACAATGATGATTTAGCTTTAGGGAAACCCAAAATTCTTTTTTTAAAGGCACATTATAATAATGAGCTTGTTTAATACGTAAACACGCAGAAGAATTGTGCTCACAAAAAAAATTTAAAAGAAGTGAAACCGGAGCATAGAAATCCAGTTTCTCACCTGGTTTCTTATGAAACCGGATTACAAAAAGTAGAATAAACTAAGCTTGTTTTGTCTTAAGATTATCAATCTTATATGTTTAAGTGCATTATTCTCATAAGCATATTTGAGAGCAAAAATATTAGCCTTCACATTTGTATGGAGAACAACAACCATATCACTAAAACATAGCCTTTCAATGCATTGTAAATGACTTCTCCATAATTATCACAAAGAGTCCAAACTTCTTTAAAGATGAATCTATGCTTACTTGACGAATTGATGCCATTGTAGATAACTAGAGGTGAATATTTAATAGAGACTTGAGAGAGAAGCTTATACGAAGAGCATGAGAACAAATCAATCCATCAGGAATTAATGAACACATAACCTAGCTTAGATCTTATAAGAAGATCATATCAGCTATTCAACCAAGCATTAGATAGACCAAAACTAGGAAGATCCTTGAGATCAATTTGAAAAATGCGATCATTAAAGTTCACTAAGACATCATTTGGTACATGTTTCTTATTGCTTCATAAAGCGACTTTCTAGTAAAAAATTTCTTGAACTAAAAATTTTTATACTAAAAAGCTAATTTAAAAAACAGTAAGCAAGTCATCCCAAATGAAGCCTAACTTGTTCAAAGGTCCAATATTATCTCTAAGCTTTCCCTCAAGAATTCTAATAGAGTTGATGTCCCCTAAATTCTCCAGGAAATGTCAATATAGTTAATAATCTTCATCAAAGTATTCTAAATTTTTTGGAGCCAAAGAAATCCACCTTGTCAGGAGAAGTTGAGGCAAGCTATAAGAGAATAAAATTAGATCTTTGATGCATCCAATTTGATCCAAATTCTAACATATGGGAGACCCTCAACATTATCACAACAATCCATATTGACAAAGACTTCACATCCTCTTATGGTTAGAGGGTCAGGTAGTTTGTAAATTTGGATTTTGATTTGGAATAAGAATAAGAATTTTATATAATGTAAGTGCGGAAAATTGTTGCACTAAAAAAATTTATCCTCTATACAAAGGCCCTCAAATTCAAGCTATGAGCGTTATGTAAAATATGAATAATTTAAATTTAGAGTTAGGAAGTACGAGGCCAACAATGAAGAACTTCAAATTGAACATGATCATTGACAAGATAAAGGAGCATAATATGACAACACTTTGTTTAAGCGGCGAAGATAAAGGCATGACAAGGATTGGTAGCATAGTCTAGATTTAAGTTGCATAAGATTGACATTGAGTAGTAGGGATGTATTCGAGGCATTGGTAGACTTGTAAGGTATTTGATGTTGACAGAAATAAAATATTTTAAGAGTGGAAGAAGTTTACTTACTAAGCATTGGACAATCATGAAGATCTTTTCCTATTTGGTGGGTTGTATGATGGAAAACATTGGTGGCTATGGCGTGTGGAACAACTATCATAATCATGAGCAAAAATATTACAAACCAAGCAAGCTGAAGGATTCCAATCATATAAAATTTCCTTTAGGACATTATAGACATTATGATTGATAAAGAATTTCCTCAAGTAAAAGGGAAGAAGGGGGATATTTTGAGCACACTCTAATAAATATAATACATGATTTGGGGGCTATATAGTGATCAACAAAAAAGGGAGCACTAATTTTACTGACAATCCTACAAATTCCCCTTCTCTCTCTCTCTCTCTCTCTCTCTCTCTCTCTCTCTCTCTCTCTCTGCGGCTGAAAGGAGGCGGAACAGGGCAGGGACAGGAGGAGGGGAGTTCGGCCGACTGGAGGTTTGGCTTCTGAACCGAATCGGGACAGGTAGGGGCGGCCTGGATTTAGCGTAGATGGAGGTGGTGAGATAGGGGAGATCGGGAGCTCTTCGTGGAAGGAGAAGAGGGCTGTGGCTTTAACGGGATCGGGGAAGGTTGGGGTTTGCGAATAGGAGTCGTGGGAGAGATCAGAGAGTGTCGTGTGTGGAGCTTGCGAGTGGGCAGAGGTGGAGTTCGTGGCCGCTGGTGTTCCGACAGAGGAGTGGAGGCAGTGACGGGAGAGGAGGAGAGGTATCGGGAGAGGAAGAGCTGCAGCGATCGTGGATGTCGAAGCCTTCAGTTGGTGCAGTATTTAACGACGCGAGGGGTCGTTTGACCGAGGCAGGCCGCAGGAATCTCGCCAGGAACGTCGTCTGGATTTGCGGGATTTGATCAGTTCGGCGCCGAATCGACGTGATTCCGGGATTCAACGGACATGAGGTGAGCTGCTTTTTCTCTTTTTTTGTTCTATTGGTTAATACTTAGAGGTCAACACCATACACTTTCTATCAAAATATGCGATACGAGAGAATTTGAATGGAAAGAAGCCTTTCGAGAGTCAACGTGTCAAGATTATATTTGAGTTTCCATAGCTTCCTAAAAATCACAAGAAGAGATCCATTGAAAAATCACTTACCATAACAATGGCATAAACAACTAAGTCAAGATCCCATGAGATAGTTCTTATAAGACAAAATAAACTTGCAGTTCACAACAATCTCTACTATTAAGTAAATTTTGTTTGCACTAAAATGTACCAAATAAGCTTATGGGATTTTGAAAATTTAGCCTCATAATTTATATAAATCATAGCTATTTCATTGAACTTTGCCTAAATTGAAATTTAAAAGACATCAATTTGGATAAAACATATTTGCAGCAAGCATTAGAAGTACAAACAATAGCCCATGTCAGCCATACACTAGTTTAATAAATTATTTGGTGGCCAAGGCTTCTTTTGTGAATTACACTTATGTGAATGCAAATTAGCTCCTTTTCTTTTCTTCTATATTTTCACTTCTACCAACTACAACTTCCATCAACATTTCAAATTTTTATTCAAATAATTCCAGTTCTGCTAACTCATACTCTATTGTAATAAATGCAAGCAAGCCAAAAACACTGAGAACATCCAAAGAAGCATCATTGTATGGTCTCCAAGGAACTATGATATGTTCACTGGATGCTTTTCAATCAAGTTAAAGAACTCCTCCCCTATTCCAAAGCCAAGCATTCTGGCCATGTCACTTGTCTTCGGCTCAGGTTTTGGGATCTTTTGCTGCTTCAACCAGGCATGCACAATAAATACCTTGTTCAGCACTAACAACTCCAGAGCCTCTGGGTTAAACACGATGCCTTTTGTCATGCTCATCTGTCATAAATTCCTTCCATAATCAGAAAGCTCGTTGTTAAGCAAAGCAAGGCAGTTGTAGAAAAAAGACTGTAAATTTCAAGGCACTGGAACATTTGATTTTTGGGTGTAATACTTGTAAGTTCAAAGCAAATGTTCCACATGTGCGATAAAGAGTAAGTTCTTATTATGTGCCTCTCTCTCACTCATTTCTTTGCCTTTCTTGCTACTTATCCAGTAATGCTTGCATAATATTTTTCTCATACTTGTCAGCATACTAAGCTAAATTTTTGTAAAAGCGAAAAAATATTTCAATCATGTAAGATAGCTCTATTCATTCTTATGGGATACCTATGAAGATTATGAAACTCTGAGGTGGAAAATATTCAAAATGTTTCTCTGGCTCACCAAAGCTTGTGTAATATGATGCAAAAGTACACAACAAACCTAAAAATATTGGTTGATTTTTAATGGCAATGGTCTTACTGCCAATTTGATTAGGTTTCAAAAACCTTTAAAGCTCTAAGCATACAATCAAAGTGAGTTAAACTAGCAGAAAATATAACTTATTTTTCATTCTCTAAGCTAAATTTGATTACCTGATGAGGAACAAGCATTGCCGCATATCGAGCAAGTTCTCCAGCTCTCCAGTCCAATACTACAAAAAACCAGGGAAACAAAGCATCATGCCTCACAAACCAAAGCCTAATATCAGGAAATTCTGATAGCTCACGATTGTCATATGGGTCTTCCCTTTCATAATTGATGGTGAAACCAACTGTCTTCTCTAAAATCAATGTTGGCTTAGCTGAAGTTCAAGGAAATGAATAAATAACAAAAATATATATACATTATTTGCCAAACTAATTTATTGTTAGTGAAGAGGTACCTCCATTGATTGTAAAAATGGGGGACAAATCAAGTTGTCGAATGATGTCATTATTAATGACAATTTCAATGCGCCCCTCAGTTGAAGGCAGTGGAGGTGCAACATTCTGGGTATCTATTGATGAAACAAGGTGCAATTAACTTGGCTCGTAATCAAGATTAGTAAACTGATAACACTTGTACAACAATAAGAATTAACATCATTAAATACATGACAAGGAGTTTTAAGAAACCCGACAGACAAGGAGCATATCTACAAGATCATGAAATGAACTATATTAGCAGGAATTTAGCTTGTTTCCTCGAGAAAACTTGCCAATGGAGGATTCTAAAGGTTCCTTGGTGGTGCATTATCATTCCTTGTTGGTGGGGAGAATTTTTATTAATTTCATTAACCATGACATCTCTACCTTCCGAAGTGCTTTTAATCATTCTCGATAAAATGGTATTTTGTGATAGATAACATTGCTATCTAAATGGTGTTGTTATTAACTTTCAAATACTAGAGGAATTTCATTCTCTTTTTGATATGACTCGCACAAAGTTTCAAACTCGTACTAAGATCTACTATTCAAAAACTCAAATTTCCTTCTAATGAACAACACCAATTACACATAATTTCAATCTTCTTCTTGATAAAATGATATTTTGTGATAGATAACATTGTTATCTAAATGGAGTTGCTGTTACCTTTCAAATATTAGAGCAATTTTCTTCTTTGTTTGATATGACTCACACAGAATTTCTAATCTGTACGAAGAACTAATCTTCAAAAACTCAAATCTGCTTCTAATGAATAACCCCAATTACAAACAGAATTTCAATTAATCATCATGAGAGAGAGGAGGAACAACATAGAACAAATTATAAGAAAAAAAAAATAAAGAGCTTGATTACCTTCAGCAGCTCCAGTTAAAGAAAGATCAAAATTTCCCGAAGGATTGAAAGCGACGGAGAGCGAAACATCAAGCTTAGAGCGATTTTGTGAAGAGGACGCGAGTTGGAATTGAAGCAAAGTTTTGAAGCTGAAACTAGGGTTTTTCCCACTTAAACATGAGAGAAGAGAGGGGTTACTGGCGACGGCCGCGAGCGACATCGATGATAATGGGAGCGGAAGCGGGGAGCAAGACCTCTTCTACTCGGGATAGCCATCGTTATCTCCTCGCAAAAGCTCGTGGCCAGTAATCCTGGGTACGTGCAAAACATTCAAAAAAATTTGTTTGTATGCTACTAACATATTTTCTTTTTATGAATTTTTTTTAAAGATTTTATAAATAGAATAATTGTTTCACCTATAAATAAATAAGATAATTTTGACTTTACATACACATAATTTTAAAATTGGAGAATTGCACCCATTACTTAATTACTCGAAAAAAATGTACGGAAGTTATTTACGTACTAAACTAATTCTAATATTAAATAAATGGGGGATTACTAAATTCTAGTATTAAATGTGGGATTCATAATGGTTCCTCTTATTTTTGGCAGGATGATTGGTTGAGTATTGACTTTATTGACACTTATTTCAATTCTCATACAACTTCTCTTAAAATCTCTAATTTCATAATTGATGGCAATTGGTCCATTAATCGTCTTAGGGATGTTCTTCTTCTTAACTTGATTAATATCATTTAGAACATTCCCATATCTACTGTTAGCAATGATCAAATGTTATTTAAACTTTCTCATAATGGTGAATTCGACATTAGTAAAGTGTGACACTACTTTAGAATTAAAAAGCAGAATATTCATATTTTTGGTCAAATTTGGAAATCCTATATTCCCTTGAACTATTCTTTGTTAGTTTGGAGAATGATGAAAGGTTTCCTTCCGGTTCATGTAAGGCTCGAAAGAGAGGTATTTACTTGGCCTCCATATGTCAATGTTTTAGTAGTATTATAACTATTAATCATGTTTTCATCCATGGCTGATGGCTGCCATGGTTTGGGTTACCATTAAGGATGGTTTAAGTATTTTCATTGATCTTCTTGCTATCAAAATCATGTGTTTTTTAAATATTGTGCTTATGAGCAATAACTTCTCTCAAAGAATGTTGACCATCCCCTTAACGATATTTTAGTTATTATGGAAAGAAAGAAACAACAACAAACATTTAGATATTAAGACGCATCACAAAAGGAGGGGTGCCGATTTACGTTGGGAAAGTCACCTACAAAAAATGGCAGAATGCCTTCACTGTCAAAAAGCCAGAAAACAAGCAAAAGGAGAAGAATTTCCAACTTCTGTACAAGAGGAGGGGCGCTGAATTGAGTAGGGAAACTCACCTACTCAAAAACAAAGGAAAGCTTCAACTGTCAGAGAGTTAGAAGGAGAAAAGGAGAATGTGCAAGTTTTCCCCTAGCCCGGGGGGGGCTATTTATAGCATTTTCAGAAAGAGGATAAGCTTCAAGAAGATTCTGGAATTTTTCAAATTTTTGTGAATTTTTCAGAATTTTCTGTAATTTTTTGAGATTTCTTTGATTAAAAAATGCATGTGGGCCCCACAGAAATTTGAAAAAAAAATAAAATCCAAACCGCATGGTTAATCGCGTGGCTAACCGTGCCAGAATGCGCGGGATGCGCCTGTTGGCGCGTGGCAGCGGCCGACTAGCCAGCTGGTTCGACCGCCTAGGCTAATTCAGGCCCAATTTTCGGCCCGGATGGTCTAAATTGGCCGTTTTGGGGTCCCCATACACATTTTTTGAAGTTCTAAACAAAATTTTGACACTTTTGGAGCTAAACGAGGCCTCTATAATCAAGTTTGAGCAAATTTATCATTTTTTTAACATAATTTTTTGTGATTCAGCCAATGCAAAATGTTAAAACTTATATTTTCGGACTTCTGTAGCTTCGACATCCGAAAATAGTGGGGCAACTGATATGTCATCAGAAAATTATCTTGATCGGGTAAGAACCTCGGGGCAAAAATCAAGTTGGAGACTTCAAAAATTAATTCTGTGATCATATGAACTCCGATTTTGGCAAACTTACTGTGGAACTGATCATCTTGGAAATAAGAACCCAACGACTCCAAAATTGACTCAATCTGAGCCCAAATGAGTCCAAATCAAAGACCTGAAGCACTGTTGGAAGGTTCAATCCATAATTTGGGTTAGCAAACGGCTTCCAAAATTAACATACTTATAGTTGAATCAAGCGGCTCGACGAGGCAAATCCAACGAGCCCAAGATCACCAAATTCCGACATCATTAAGACCTTCAAATGTCTGATGAACGATCCACGATCAAGGAATTCAATATCGGTCGTCCATTCAAACTACTCCTAATTCATTCCTGATCTCTCACATATTTATAGGTCATGCCACTTCAAAAATCTATAAATAGACCCCTCATTTATCTTGTGAGGGGGGTCGAAGCAAGAAGAAGAGAAGAAGAAGAAGAAGAAGAAGAAGAGAAGGATAAGAGGAAAGAAACTCCTCCTCGAGTCCTCGACCACCGCCGCCTGAATTCTTCCCGACGCTGGAATACTGCCCGACACCAATATTCTGCCCGACGCCAAAGTTTTATCCGACGTTCAAGCAACGTCGGAGTTCTGCCTGACATTCAAGCAATCCCAGAATTCCGCCCGACTTCCAAGTGACGTCGGAATTCCGCCTGACCTCCAAGGGACGTCGGAGTTCTGTCCGATTTCTAAGTGACTCTAGAGTTTTGCCCGAATACCATCCAACGCTGGAATTCTCCCCGGCCTCCAACTTATGTTGGACTTTTACCCGACTCTGGGCCTCCGCTCATTGCCAAATTTCTACCCGACACTGGACTTTCGCCTATTGTTGGACTTTCACTGGACATCTATCTAATGTTGGATTTTTTTCCACTACTGGACTTCTACCTGACGCCATCTTTCTGACCTCTTTCATCAGACAACAGTCCTTCTAACTAACATTGCCTGCCGACTACAGTCCTTCTAACCTCCATCGCCAGCTGACTACAGTCCTCCTGACTTATGTCGCCCACCGACTACAGTCCTTCCGACCTCCGTCGCCAGCCGACTACGGTCCACTTGAATTACGTCGCCCGCAAAATATAGTCCTTTCGACCTCCTTCGCCAGCCGACTATGGTCCTCCTGACTTACGTCGCCTTACGTCGCCCAACAACTACAGTCCTTCCGACCTCCGTCGCTCATCGACCACAATCCTTCTAACTTACTTCTGACTTATGTCGCCCACCGACTACAGTCCTCCCAATCTCCATCGCCAGCCGACTACGGTCCTTTTGACTTACGTCGCCCGCCGACTACAGTCCTTCCGACCTCCATCGCTCGCCGACTACGGTCTTTCTGACTTACGTAGCCCACCGACTGTAGCCCTTCGGGCCAAACAAACACATCATCAGTTATTCTCTATATTCTTACCATGTAATATACTCTGTAAAATGTACATCAAGCTAAGGCCTTCCGCCGAGGAAGGATCTCATTTATAATTAACTATAATACTAGTAGATTTATTTATACTGGGCCAGGCCCAATAGTTTTTCCCCCTATTCAAGGGTTTTCCACATAAAACTCTTGGTGTCCCATAAATGCAACACACCTCTCTTATCTGATTGCATGCCGGATTTTCGTACAACGCTAAGATGTTAAAGTTTATATTTCTCTACCACCGCGAATACTCTTGGACACAACAATATTATTACAAATATCTTAAAGCACTAATTCATTTTTCAATAAAATCCATTTAATACCAAAGATTTCAGCCAAAAGAGAGCCATGAGTGAGATTAGAGTGGAAATGATGGGAGAGAGAGAGAATGAGCTCAGATTTGGAGGATGCGGTGCTATTTTTGTCTGTTGAGCCTGTTGGGATATTTACTCGTCTCATTGTAAGGAATCCATATCCTATTCTGATTTCAAAGATTTTGTGTTTTTGGTATTTTTTTGCTCAAATTTATGTTTTCGTTTCTAAAAAGCGTGCATAACTTTGTATTGACAAAACTTTCACCACGTAACTTTTTATATGTTATAGAGATTGTGATTATGAGCATTTTGAGTATTTATTTAAGATTTTTCATAGGGTGATTTTAAAAATGCACCAATTTTTATCTACCCTAAAATTTATTTTGACGTCTAAAAATAGTAGTGTAGTATAATAAAAGTCTTAAAATGTCATTTTATACAATTCGTGATAATTTGGTACTTTTAAAAAAATATGCATTTTTTGCCTAATAAAATTCTTTGTTGTATAACGTTATGACATTTTGGCATCTTCTTGATTAAGCTCAATTATACATTATTTATTTCATTGTATTGAAAATGGATGTGGATATGTACTTGTGTAATAGCCGGTCGCTATTACAATTATAGTATTGAGTTAATAATCTACATGTGTGTAGCAAACAAGTAAAGACTGGTTGACCCATTGGTTGGAGACCGATTGACCTATAAAGAACGGTGAGCCGACGAGCTTTCCTTTAAATACTATGTTTTAGTGTTATTCTATACTAATTCACGTGATACACTAATTGAGAGTTATAAGGAGATTATTATTGTGCTGACGGGCAAAGGGTGATGACTCTATTTACTGAGCCAACGGTTTACTAACATTGATACTAACACTGAATAACACCATGATAGTCAGGACTTCTTACTTGTTTAGAGTGACTACTGAAATGCATGATTTTGAGGCATTATTCTTATTATTGTATGAATTTTTGCTACGACATGGATTTACTGTTGTTGTATTGTTCTGTTGCTCTTGCCACTTTATTATTATTGATATAGATACTGATACTATTTGATACTACTAATTCACTGTATTTATACTAAGTATGTGATATACAATATTTATTGAGCATGTGATATAGATATTAGCTTGAGAATGAGATACTAATTTAAATTTTATATATATAATGAATTGATAACATGTGTACATTTTTATATGATTTTAGTGTATTGATTGATTTTGACAGTCATTATTTTGATTTGATATTTTATTTTATTATAGAAATATAATTGATTTATGGATTTGACATTTGTACTGATTTACTATCTTTTGTATTATAGTTTTTTATTGTTTACATATTCTACTACTACTGCATTTGAGTTTTAGTATTGTTGCACTGATTTAATGATCATGTG